CTCTCTCTCTCTCTCTCTCTCTCTCTCTCTCTCTCTCTCTCTCTCTCTCTATATATATATATATATATATATATATATATATATTAGCATCATATATTTTATTGCTTTAATAAAGGATTGTAGAAATGTGTTCAACACTACTTTCTGCTGTTCATACCAATTACAGTAGATACGTTTTTAACCACTCTTAAAACTTTATAGGCTTATTGAAGTGACTCTCTTGTGATAGTAAATGCCACCCCCACCTAAAAATGATAAATAAGGTAATTTGTACATGGGCTCATTGAAATGACCCAGAATAGCTGACAGGGAACACATTCATTTAGAGAGTTAAGTGCTTCAGGTTTAAGTTGATAGATATTCTCTTTTTGTCTCCTATTTGATTACTTCATGATATGTGTTCACTTTTGCTGCTTCCATTCTTATTGGCCCATTATTTATCTGCTGTTGTGATCCACCCCACCCTTTTATTTTGGAAAAGTGTTGTTTTGTTATAAAAGGGAGTGATCTGCGTTTGTTACTTTAAGCAATTTGTATCAAAACAGAAGAAAGGGTTAATGATAATAGGCAGATAAAAATACCTCAAGGCATATCAAAACTTTAGAAAAGAAACAAGGTGTCCTCTCTTTGTAAAGCAAATGCAGGATTTAAAAGAGCTTCAATAGAAGGTCTTTGTAGGTGGCAACATTTTGTAGGTGGCTTGGGCTTGTAGGGCCTGGTTAGTTCTCGGATAGAGATATTCATGGAACCCAGGATTGTTGGTTATGTGAAATAAAAAGAAAGGAGTTTCTTAAAAATATGTGCATACGTCATTATGATTCAGAAGGCTAATATCATCATCACCATCAATACTGATGGAGAGAAATTAGAAGAACGACTACTTGACAAATGTTCTTATCTCATCCATCTATGTCAGAGTTGATAGGATCAGGAGAAAGAGTGAGATTGAGAAGAATCGGTATCTTTGGGAGAGTTTAATATCCCGTTTCAATAATTTGGTGCAATTGGTTCCTCTACTATTCTAGTATCTCAACAAATGGATAATTGAATCACATCTTTTTAATGATGAGTAGAATAGAATAGAATAGAATAGAATAGAATAGAATAGAATAGAATAGAATACCTTTATTGTCATTGCATTCCACAAATACAATGAAATTTGAAAGCTACTCCAGCACAGTACCCCAAACATCACATCACAATCACACCACAGAGTATTTAATAATAAATAATAATAATAATAATAATAATAATAATAATAATAATAATAATAATAATAATAATAATAATAATAAACCTAGTCTAAAAGCTATCTAAAACATTTAGTAAGTTAAATAGTTTAAAAATGCCACTATATAAATAGTCTAAATCACAAATGTACTGTTTGATTCAAGACAATTATTGCCTTGGAAAAGAAACTGTTTCTCAGTCTATTAGTCCTCATTTTAAGACACCTATAATGTCTCCCTGATGGTAACAGTTTGAAATATGAATGACCAGGATGAGAACAGTCGGTGGAGATTTTTAGTGCTCTAGAGTGGAGTCTGGTCTTCGCAATCTCTTCCAAAGAAGAACGAGAGCAACCGATGATTTTTTTGTGCTGTGTTTATAACTCTTTGGAGCATCTTCTTATCCACTACAGAGCATCCAGCATACCACACCGTTTACATAGTATGCCAAAATGCTATCGATGGTAGAATGGTAAAAAGTAGCTATCTGTTCAGGAAGACAAAATCCCTTTCAGTTTAAAGTGGGACAAAGCCCAGATAGGTTTTCTATCTACATAATAGAAATGATATGTACAACCGTGATATTTTGTAAGTAACTGCCTAGATCAACCTTTAATAACTGATTTTGGGACATCATTATAATGTACATATTTGTGTTTGTTTATTGTGTATCATATATTATACACATTACAGATAATTTTTAAAATATATTTTAAAAATATATTTTTAAAAATGGAGCTACTTTTATATTTTTATGGAAATGCTGCAGTACACTCAATAGTGGGTGCTCATAGCTGACTGCAACTATTAACACATGATATGATGAGTTTACAGTGAGATAAAAGCAGCCCCACTCTGAATTTCTTTTCATGGATCAAAAGAAAGAGGGGAAAAACCAGAGATAAATAGTTATATTAAGGTATGTCTAAGAGTTCTGATATACCTTACCTCATCCTTGTATTTAGTAATGTATGAGTAGATCTCATGCAGGGCACTCATGCTGTTGAATTGGCTCAAGTGTAACCGTGACTGCTCTGCCAAATAGGCACTCATGTCCTGATCGCTGATTGCTGGCATTTTAGCTATATCTGCATAATATCTGTAAGTGAGAAGGAGGAAAAATAAATCACGCTGTTGAAAATAAAGATGTTCAATAGCAGGTAGGAAACAAACTGAGGATAAATCTGGAAAATGCCATAAACTTAATTAACAAGTCTTCAGATTAAATGTAATAAATCTATTCATTACAATGAAGCAATTGTAATGTACATAGCACATTTTGCCATTTCATAGTGTTCTGCCTGCCAAATGACTCTTCATTTTGTGTTCAAGTAACCAGACTAGCCCTCTTAAGCCCTCACAGACAGGGTATACAGGGTCTCTCTTTACATCTTAAGACTGAGGGGATGAGGCAGTGTCCAAGCTCCTTGTGTGAGTTGAAATAGTAGGACTTGAGAAACAGCTTTAAAGGGGTGCTGTGATCATTGGAGGTAAACCATTTATTGAGATCTTCTTCCCCCCACTCCCCAAACAAAAGACGCTTGAGTGCAAGAGATTGGGGGAAAGATCCAATCTTTCTGCAGAAACAGAAATGCTAGGGTAATCTTAAATAGGGATTTGGAGTGCTTGATACTGTTACACCTGACTTACAAACACAAAGCAAAACACAGAAGGATTACTGAGGGAAAACAACTTGGGCTATAAGTTGTCTTGTCTACATTTGTTGTTGGAGATAGACCTGAATTGTTCCAAAATCATGGTGAGGCATGTCAAGCAGAATCACAGATCAGTAGTTGGACGCTCCTATGAGGAGAACTTAATGGAGCTCAGCAGAGCAGCAGAAAGTGACATATCTGGATATTGTGTTTTATAATCCTATATTTATTTATTAGAAAGTTTGTTACCGAATTATAATGATGACTGCTGTTATGGAAGAAATGGGCTTCACTTAGGAAAGCAAGATAGAAGCCCATTTCTTCCATAACAGCAGTCATCATTATCTAGCATTTATAGCATAATTTATAATTATACATACATCAGCTCCCAGAATATAAATATGCCACATAAAAGATTCATGTTTTAAAAGTCTAGCAATGTGGGAAACATCCTAACGGCAATATTATATCTAAAATACCACCATAATGTATAATATTGGCTAATATTAAAAATAGCCAACTAAGCAAGCAGCAAATAGTATTGAATATCAAGGCGATGAGTGTGCTTTAGATCTCTCTCTGCTAATCATTAAAGCAGCCCCCACTTTCTTTAGGTTTTGCCCAAGCCAAAAAAAAAAAGCAATGTTGCTGCTTTAAGATGTTAAACCATTAAAGTTGTATTAACTTTAAAGGATCAATTCTTTAAAGCTGTTGCACTTTTTCCCAGCTCTCAAAGAAGAGAGCTACTGTTTAATAACTCGTACAAAAGTGATTGCACAAGATTTGGAAGTTTTTTTCCTCATCATTTTCAAAGTGTGCAGAATCTCATTATTTTTTTAAAGAAAACCTTAAGATGGTATAATTTGCTGTATGCAAAAGACTGTGTCATAAAATATTGTTTGCATTAAGGCTAGCAACTGAAAAGATAATGAAAATATAGAGGTTTTGTCCCAGATGTCCTTACCTTGAGATGCTGGCATGAAAAAGGAAGGTGTAACCCCCCCTCCCCCAACAATATTAGTGAAGTTTCTGGGTATAGGAGAATCAGGGAGGTGCCCTTAAAGAACAAATCTAGATAGGCTATTAAGAAAACATCAGGTACAGTACAGAATAAACTTAGGTTAAGTCCAGAGAGAATTGAAGGGTATTACAAAGAGACCCAGACTATCCCATCTCTGGTTCCCTAGGGTCTAAGAGGGAAGGAAGGAAGGGAAAACTTAGTCAAGATTCTGTTACTAAAGCTTATCACAGTGAAATATAATTCTATGGAATCAGTTTTCTGGTCTGTCCATCTTGTAGGGCTATTCACTACCATGAATAAACAAGATAAAAATAATGCTTATAAAACTAATGCAATATCCATCTCCCCTAACCATCAGGATAATAAGTTGTCAAAACAGTTTGAATTAAAGCTCAGGCACAAATGTAATCTCTAAGTCAAGAACCGGGTATTTAAAATATGATTTGCACAATATACCAATTCTAACTAATGTCTGTGTGTGTGTGTGTGTGTGTGTGTGTGTGTGTGTGTGTGTGTACACAAACAGACACACAGTCAATTTGTTTAATAAAATAGTTCTATTTATAAATAGAGAGTCTTATTCATCCTGTGTTTCATTATCTATTTTTTCATCTTTATTAGCAGCAGTGGAAAAAAAACTTCTGATTTTACTTAAGACATCAGCAGGGTAATGATGTCATTAGCAAATACAATTTTCACAAAACAGCACCAGCTACTGAATCTTTTCAATGTGTGAGTCTCTACCCCAATAGTACACAATAATTAATAAACCAAACATACTTGAAATTGATCAGAATCTCCCCGGTAAAACCCATGAAAACGAAAAACTCTTATCTGTATTACTCAACACAATGTGATTGTATTATTTTCAGTTTGGATATAATCCAGGCTTTAAATTCCATTGGCAAAGAGATTTTGCTTTGCTAATCCTCCTGCAAATGGATTGCTTTACTAGTAGAAATATCCTCAAAACATTGAAGATGGAAAGAGAAAAGGGAGGAAGTTATTTTTATTTTTGGGAGTGCCTCCTTATTCACTACTCCCAAATTCCCCAACCCAGTTCCACCAATCCTTAAATGCAATTTGTAGGAGACTTGGATCTAATAATGGTTGCAAGAGAAACATCATTCTTTGTCTTGTTCAACTACTGAAAAGCTCAGCTGATAGAAGAAATACTTCACTGAGGTTCCCCACACCTCAATTAGATGTTTATGCTGGATCCAACCTAATAGAAACAGCTGCCATCGTGAAATCTATATGCTATATTACTTTATTCATTAGAAAGGTCTGAAAGGAATTGGCAATTCTTAGGAAAAAAAACGGATCACTTGCAATTGTTCCGAAGAACCATTTTTCCTCCTCTAACTCAGGGAACCACCCCAAACATTCTAGAACTGCCACACCTTTGTTCTTTTTGCAAACCTACTTTCTCTACAGCTGCAGTTACTCACCTTTCTACCCAGCTCTTATAGTTAGGGATGTCCTTGGCATACAGTAGTTTATTGGAGGGAGAGTCTTTCCCTAGTTTGTGCTCAGAAGTTGAGCAGGAGTCCATGAATGTCTGAGCCACCACTGATAGGCAGGCATCAGTAATACTGTTCTTATGAATGTCAAACACAAATTGTGGGTTCTTAATCACATTCACCCAAAAACGCAGAGGTAGACTGCAAAGGAGAAGAAAAGAAGAGATTATTCTTAGTAGCTTCAAGTAGGGCTCTTGGCAAAAAAACTTTACTTGGTTAAAATCTATCACAGTAAGGGGGGCAGGGGTTGTCCCGAAATCTAAACAGGTGATAATAACTCTGATGCATCGTTTGCCAGCTACATAGCTATCTCACTGAAGGGTGGGTATATGATATATGGTGCAGCTGTATATGAACATATTTTTAAATGTTTTATATGTGGATATAAATGATTTTAAGGGCATATGGCATTTGAAAACTAACAGTAAATATCAGAAATATTTCTATCATGAGACTTGTTTTAAATATCCAAAATTGTGCCTGGTAAATTCTATTATTTTTGACATAGAATAGAGCATTTGTCAAAGTCATTCATGCTGACCTTGGGGTTTTATCAGTACTTGTCAACATTTCTATCATTTCCCTATGCTCTTCTTAAACCCTTTGAAATTATTGTTACATTTCAGGGTTCACCAAGTTTTCTGCCCTTTATTAAATCCCTATATTTGTATTAGCCCTTGGAGACTAAATTCTATTAAGAAATGAGAACTATAATTAAAGGAAAAGCAACTTCTTGATCTTCCTCAACTCAGCATTAATTTATCTTTTAACTGAGGCAACCAGCACAATGCAATTGGCTATGCTGTTTCTGCAAATTACCCATGTCTATTTTCACAAAGCAATGTTACTGAGGCAGAAGGGCTATCATATTACTTTTTCCTGTTATATTGGCTAGGTTGGAAAAAAAAACAAAGAACTGGGAAAACTCAAACTAATTTACTTGAGGGAAGATGGGATGACCAAGTTTCAAAGCATAACACAAAGAATCTCAGGAATACTATCTTAATTTTTAACTGGAAAATTTTCACTGGAAATTTTTCTCACTGGAAACATTTCTGTATATCAGGAAAATTCATAGAAACTTTCCCATGACTTCTAGGGTGAGGATTTTTTGTGTAAAATAATTCCATTGTCTGATCTCTCCTACCCTACCATAAAATCTGAATTATCTCAATGAAAATTAGGCCCTTGCTTTTCATAACTGTTTTTTGTCTCAACTGCTAAACTCCCACAAATCATATAACCCTATGTCTTTTAATTTCAGAGAGCCCTCTCTTGAAATGTACTCTATCCACTGAATTAGCAGTGCAAAACAAGCAAGGGCATTAGTATGCTGGAGCCTGCCTGCCTCCCTGGGCTCTGTGGAGTTGCATCATTGGGATTCTTTCCCTACCCCGTTTTTCCTCCCAGAGCAGCTATTTCCTTTAATATAGAAAGCCGAGTGATAAATCAGTTCCAAATGTTTCCATGCTCTCATAACTCCATTTAAAAACGTTTCTTTTCCTGCCTTGCTAATTACTGACAGTTACTGAACTACAAAAGCAATTTGCTTGCTATTTAACAAAAACCAGAGATCAGAGTGTATATTCCTATCCCCAGTAATAGTGAAAGGAGCTGAGAGATCAAATCAGGAAGGCAGCAGAAGAAGAGAAAAGTGTCTGCCACTTTTTACTATTCACTGAGCACGTTAATCCCCAATAGCACAAAATAAGTAGCGAGATGGAGTTTAAGGCTATGCAAATCAGCATGCAGAGAATAACTTCCCTATCACATTTGAAGGTAAATGTGGAATACAGTTCACCAGCAAATTGATAACTGGCTATATAAACAAAAATGCTGCATACAAGATTTTTAACTGCTCTCCTGTAGCTGCTGCTTTTATTGTTTATTAAGACTCTGAATCGCTTCAAATTCAAAGATTAAGAGGTGCTTTGAAGCGTGCAAAGGTCTGAATGCAGCACCTGTTTGCAGCTCATTTCAGTAGCTGCCCTGTTTTCTGGCATGGTGTGTCTGCACCTCCGAGGCAGCCATGCCATTCCCCGCTCCCCAAAGGTTAGAATTTCTCCAGCACACCGAACATCTTTTTGCCTTGAATCAGTACTGTGCCACACTATTATTTTACTGATCTCTTAATGATTATGTTTCCATTATTGGATCCACATTATTATTCCGGGTTTTATATTGTGATTTTAGTGATTTATAAATTCATTTGGAAAACACTGGTTTTCAGGGGGGCTTCAAAGTATTTGTCCAAGCAAGATAATGTCCCTGTAATATAAACTTACAGAAATTTTATCCTGACAGATCTGTAATTTTTTATTTATTTATTTGATTTCTATAGCCTCCCATCTCAACAAGTGAATTAGATACAGGCTATATTGTAGCCTAATATAAATGCCTTTTTAAGTGAGTGTATATGTGAGGCTTCCTCTACACCAGAGAACAGAATAACACAAATGCTTTGAGGCTGCGCTTCCTTATGCAACTGAGGTAATTTTTTTTAAATCATCTGATCTATTTTTTGAAAATGCTGAAATTACAACAGGGCGGTTTACACTCTTTGAAAGAAACATCTTCCTTGTTAGCTACCCCTAACTTTTCACACACAAGCTGCAGCTTAGATAAGAAGCTGGCTTGCAGAAATAAACCATTGATCTTCCTAGCTAAACATTTATCTACACAATGACCCATCAGGTATCCACTCTGCCTCAGCTTGACCTTCAGAAGATGGGAAGACATCTTGGGATTTTCTGCAGTGCGAGTCATCTGCTTTATTGCTGCGCTACAGCATCTTCTTACCAGTTACTCTTCCAAGTGTGCCTGACATCATAGTCATTGATCTGGTGCTTATCAGCTTGTTCATCCAGGAAGTCAAACATGTACTTGATGGCCAGAGGCAAGGCACTCCCTCGGTGGGCTGTGCTGAAGATAGTTTCAAAAAGGTCATCCACAAACTTCTGCAAAGTTCCCTGGAACAAAAACAAAACAAAACAGGATATTTGTTCAGCATTACTTAACATATCATTCATGTACACAAGCAGAACAGCAACAATAGAATGAAGGCATTCTTTTTTTTTTCTTCTCAGAAGGGCTAAAATATTTCCCTGGTATTAAAACATGCTCTGAAATAAGAAACTGAAGTGTCACCAATGGATGAAATAAAACTGGCTTTTCATGGGCTATTGTAAAGGAATTTAGAACTGAACTTAGAGAAGGTATAAAAGAGTTATAAAGAGAGGAAGGAAGAAAGGCATTAAAAATAGGGGGAGCTTCAGTGGCACTGTTTGACTATCCTGCTGAGTTTTTACCCATGTCATATACATTTGTTTTATGCCTTGTTCATTCTCTACAAATCCTCAACTTAATGATTTAAATATGGTAGAGATATATGATTTTACAGAGAGCAATCCAAATTATTTCAGAGTTCTGGTTCAGTATTCAATTAACTGCAGGATCACTGCTTTTTTTTTCTTTTCATAATAGTTCCAAGCTGGCTTTCTGAGACAGTGATTTTTTATGAGGAAAGATAAGCCTATAATCCTCTCAGTTATTATCTCATGTAGGATCCAGCTATCGAAGTTTGAAAAACATACAACACATATAGTTAGAATAGTGGTTTAAAACTGTGGAAAGATTGTATAGGAGAGAGAAACTGTTATTGCAGACTTCTTTTACAGTCCCCATGAAACTGCAAAGACCATTTTGCTAAGAAATCTTGAATTTTGAAAGTGCTTTCAAAAACTGTGTCTTTCAACAGCCAGCAAATGCCTAAAATATATTCCTCTCCTTCAGGTTGAGGTAATCCACATATCTCCCTGTGAAAAGGGACTGCTTTTAGACTGAGAGAGAGGAAGAAAAATCCACGTTGGAATTCTGAAAATATTTGAGAGAGTGAGTACCCCTGCTTTCTCCCTCATGAAGAATCTGCTTTCTGATGGAATGTTCAAATTATGTGTCACCTGTATATTCAGATGCCTTGAATGATGTAAAGGAGGGAAGAAAAAAGAAAGAAAGAGGGAAGGAAGGAAGGAAGGAAGGAAGGAAGGAAGGAAGGAAGGAAGGA